CATCTCGGTGAGCCGCCATGTAGCTCAGTATCAGCACACGAAGTTTCCGCTTTCCAGGAGGGCATTTTCATGAAGTCCGTTACGCCATCCGCCATATGCGATTCGCGCACGGAGAAAAACTAGCCTAGAGCACTCCCCCAGCTGGTGCTTTTGGGGGGTCGTGAACGAAGAGAAGGGGGAAGGAAGCAGAATGTCGTCATCGTCATACACGGCAGCACCAGCGTTCAGTCACGCCGACGAGGAGCCTCCCACCGTCAGATATTTCAAGGCGTGCGGCCGGTGGGGGATTCATGCTGCTCACGCCGTCGTCCGACCCGTCGCAGTACGGGCCACCTACATGGAAGCCAGAAGCAAAAGGTAGGTGAGGTGACACGGATGGGATGCACGCTGCAGGCAGTCCAGTAGATAGAATAGATTGGTGGGTGTGTTTGTCTGTTGGTTGTGTGCAGGCAGGCGGGTCAGCTCAACACCCGGGAGAACGAGGCCGTGGACGACGTCGACGGCTGGCAGCCGTTCATCACCATGGGCATGGCACTGCGTAAGCATGAGGCTCGGGCAGATAGATGCGTCTGTGCCTGCCTGCCTGTCTACCTGGTGGGCAGGCACCATGTGTGTTGTGTTTTGTGTGTGTCTTACCGTGATCATCATCCATCGGTTGGTTTGTGTGATTGCGTGTGCCCTCTCTCAGCGTGTCACTACTGGTTCAGTCAATGGCTGCTGAAGAACTTCAAGCCCCTCACCAAAAAGAACCCGACGGAGTTCGCGATACCGCTCATCGACAAGAAGCAGGCGGCAGTCATTTTGGGCTTAGTAGGTACGGCACGCAGGCCGACTGCACCGCTACCAACGACGACAGACTGACAGACAAGAGCAGAGCAGACGATCTGTGTGTGTGTGTGTGTGTCGGTTGTTTGCCTGTGTGTCTGTCTGTGTGTTCATCAGTTCCTCTGACGTTCATTTATGTGTCTGCATGTGGGTTGTGGCGTCGGAAGCTGGGCGACATCTTCTTTGTGCCCAAGGGGATGCTCGCCAGCACATCCATCGGCGTCATGGAGCTCAGGGAAGAGTGAGTGACCAAGGGCACCCATACCAGACAGAGAGACCAGCAGAAGAGGCACACTGCCCGAGTGCGTGTGTGGATGGCTGGTGTGGTGTGGTGTGCAGCTACCGTAAGAGGGCGCCGCGTGACTACGAGAGGCTGAGGCGGATGTGCGACCCCTACTATGACCCTGCTGCTGAAGCAGATACTGAGTGAAAGGCTGACTGACACGACTGTTTGACTGACTGGCTGTCACACGATGAGAGGACTGTAAATGTGCTGACTGACAAGCTTGATTCTCTGCGCATGATTGAGACTGGCGGGATGCGCATAACAGTGAGATAGATGTATGGTTGAGTCACATGGGTTGATGTGATGGATCGATCAGTGAAGGGCTCAGTGGCACAACAAAGCCACTGCACTGCTCCACCCCACACACATGCAGGTCAGGTGTCCGATTCACATCCACCCGAAGCAGGCATCAGACGACACACCACAGCACACGACACGGACACACGTAGATAGATGAGTCGGTCGCTCGTTGCATCCGCCGGCCCCGCCTCACCTATCGGCTCACAACTCAGTGCAGCTGTCAACCGGTGGATGAGATCCAGCAGTCCAATGCAGCGAGCGACCAGACCCAACACATGGAAGAATGAATGAATCAAACCAGTGTCCGTCCGCACACCGCACCAGCCCCCACTGCGCTTCTCTGCTCGCGAGTGACCGACGGCCCTTCAAAATGCCCGTGTTGCGTGCGAGTGAGTCTGTCTGTGGGATCACTCGTCGTCCTCCTCGTCGCCCCCACCGGCGCCCTTGGACTTCTCCTTGCGTCTGCGCACGCGTCCGGGTCTGCCGCCGCCGAATGGGCTGGTGAGCGCGAAGTCGATGTGCTTCTCGCTCTCGAGGTTGACCATGAAGGAGGGCACGTTGACGATCTGCTTGCCCACCCGGATGTGGCGCTGGCGGATGAGCACACGGGCGTGGTGGATGGACTTGGCCAGGCCCAGCTTGAACACCTTGGTCTGCAGCCGACGCTCCATGAACTTGGCAGTCGTCAAACCCAACACGTAATCCAACTTCTGCTGACCCTCATCTGCACACACACAGAACAAACCACACACCACACCACGCCACACACGCAATGGTCAGTCACACCAGACAGATCACCCCCCCTCTCCCTCTCGCGTGCATCGCGTGTGTGTGTGTGTGTGACATCCCTCCCTGTGTTCACTCACCGAGGAGTCCCATTCGCACCATCCGGCGCAGGAGGGCAGCTCCCTGGAACACGCGGATGGGGTCCTTCTCCTCGAGTGTGAGGAGGTGCCGTGCCGCCGCCCGCATCTTGGAGAGGGTGTACTGGACGCGCCACACCTCACGCTTGTTCTTCAGGCCGTACTCGCCGATGATCTTCATCTCGCTGTCCAACCGCTCCTTCTCGAACGGCCGCTTGGGCGTGTTCGCCACCTTTGAGTGCGTGCGGTAGCGCTTCGGCATCTCGGCTCACAGATGGGGCACGCGAACGCGCGAGCAGTTTCAGCCTTGCGAGCTGACGCTTGCGAGCTTGAAGCAGCAAGGGTTATTCTCCGTGTTGTCGCGCTCCGTGCCTCAAGACAGCGTCACTGCATCGCATATAGGCATCGGCTTTACGAAGGTACAAGATCCGCATCCGACCCCCTGACCCTCCCCTGAGCCCTCTTCCCTCCCTCTGTTGACGAACCTGCAGCCCTCATCGAGCTTAGCATCGAACCTTATTGGACCTCTCTGACGTCACTATGGTGCGCGGAGGCGGCTACGGCGGCCGGAGCAACAGAGGTGTGTGGAAGCGACACAGCAGGGCGGGAGAGAGGGGAACAGCAGGCAGACACAGGCACGATGAGGGCACGCAGGCGGCGAGATGGGGCAGACAGGGCGAGACAGGCCATGAGACACGAGAGAGGGGACAGGGAGGAGGGAGGGGGAGGGGAGGAGAGGCTGCTATGCGGTGACTGAATGACGGCCACCTGCTGCGGCGAGCCCTTTCCCTCCATCCCATCCACCACACCTACACCCGCACACGCCACGCCCAGCTTACCTATTTATCTGTCCATGACGCGGCTTGCTGACGGACACGACACCGCTCTCACGATGGATGCTCTCTTTGCCTGCCTGCCTTTCTGCTTTCTCTCTCTCTATTGGGTTGGTGGTGCTGCCTGGTGACATCGCATCGCGGCCTCCATTCCTTCCCTTCCCATCCCATCATCTATCTATCTCTATCACCTACAGGCAGAGGAGGCGGCAGGGGAGGGCGCTCCGGTGGCGGCGGGTCGGGCGGCCAGCTCGGCATCAACCGCAGATCGGGGGGCGGCGGGGGAGGGTATTCGGGAGGAGGGCGCGGTGGCCGAGGATCGGGCTCCCGCAGCAGTGGGCGCATCATGAAGGGCGGCGGCAGCATGCGCATGGGGAGGGGCGGCCGCGGCAGTGGCGGGCGCGGGCGGGGTCGTGGGCGAGGCCGTGGACGTGGACGTGGACGCGGCGGCGAGAAGCCCGCTAACAAGGAGGACCTGGTGAGAGATTGACGGAGGGGGCGACGTTGACTCACTTGGTGTTTTGTGGTTGATGTGTGTGTGCTGGTTCAGGACGACCAGCTCGACAACTACATGTGCAGCCAGAGCAAGTGAGTCCGAACAGGAAGGAGCAGCACAACCAACACGCCACACACATGACCCCACACACATGCTATGCTGTCTTCGGTCTATCTGTGGATGGATGGATGTATGGTCAGGCTCAACGCCGATTTGGACAGCTACTGGAAGAAGGGCCAGAGCGGCTCGGCCGCCCCCGCGGGCGCCGAGGGCACCGGCGAGGCCGCACAGGACGGCGATGTCGCCATGGGAGAGGCCGGTACGCTTGTGCAATGCACACCACACCCACACCTGTGTACTTGTGTGTGTTATGCTGTGTGGTGTTGGGTGTTGATCTCACGTGTGTGTCCAGAGGGTGATGGAGCCGAGACCTAGGCGCATACGGCGCACACACGACACCCATGACAGCTAGATAGACACACGTAGACATCCATCGCCTCGCCACCCACACATCCATCTGCATGACACATACTCACATGGACACATGCGACTGACTGCCCGGCCGTGGAGCTTTTTCAAGCCCCGACGATCGATGTGTAGAACGTTCTTCGCCTGCCTGCCTGCATCTGTGCACCTGTCTGCCTGCCTGCCTGCCTGCCTGGCTGACCGCCCTCTCCCCTCTCCCTAATTTGTCTCGCCCACAACATTGGCTGGGTTCATGATACGTGGATACTTGGCGTGGCCGAGTGACATGTGCATCGACTCGACTGACTAAGAGTATGGGTGACGGACGGAGTGATGATTGCTTCAATCAATCGCCTGATGGGTCAGTCACTGTCGCATTCGCATAGCAGAGGGCACACAGACACCAACCACAGCAGTCGACAATTCATTCTGGGGGAAAAGGAGAACAGTTAAACGGCACATTATGATGGAGCAAGACTGCGGCTCTCATTCGTGACATCCATCCATCCAAACCCACCCCCCAAGACCAGCAAGCGAAACAGAGCGAGGACAAATCGAACATCAGATAGATGCGTGGCTGAGACACGCAATGGCCAAGTGAGTGAGTGAGTGAGTGAGTCAGACACCCTCAAGATTCTCCCCCCATATCCATCCATCCATCAGCACAGGCAGGGCAGGCTCATCTGCCGATGCAGCCGCCGTGAGCCCTGTGAGGGCTCTGAGGCTTCGTTCGACAGACCGTAGGAAACGGGCAGCGGCTGCATTGCTCGTGATGCTCGGCTGCTCGGCGTCATGCTCAGCCGCACCGTGCGCGACGACGACCCGAATCCGCCGCACATGCGGGGCACAAACATGAATGCGCACCGCGTGCAGGGAAACGAGGGGGACCTTGCCAGGGATGAGGATGAGCCGTCTCGTGGAGACAACAGATGGTCCTCCTCCTCTGCCGTGAGGGGCAGAATGGATCTCTTGCGCGGCGGACGAGACACACGGCTGATCACGGCCTGGGCTCCCACCATCAAGGCGGTACCCAGCCGTCTGCCGAGCCATTGGAGGGCGACGCGCAGCCACGTGAGGGCGACGATGATGGCATAGGGGAGGTGCCAGTCGAAGACGACCACCTCGTCGCTGATTTCTCTCTTGCAGAACGGACAGAGAAGCGACGGAATCGGCGGACGCTCCCAAAACGATCTCTGTTGGTTGATGCCAGCCAGAGACACCCACAAACGAGCAGATACCTCACGTGTCTCATGTGTCTCATGTGTCTCTTCTCATTGCTGAACTCCCCAGTAAGGCGCACCTGACTGATGAATAAGAAACACTTGAGGTGGATGGGATGGAGGCGGCAGGATGCGTGGCCCGTGGGGGGGATAACCTTGGTGTGCCACCAGCGGAACTCCATGAGGCAGATGGGGCAGTCGTCGGTCTCTATCCGCTTGGATGGCGAGTAGGAGGGAGGAGTGGGCCGCTCGAAGGCCAGGAATGTGCAGCCGAGCAGATACAGGGGGCACAGCAGAGCTAAGGCAAACTGGAGATGGAACAGAGCATCCCACAACAGGAACGAACCCAGCCTGCACACAGAGACACGAAGGAAGAGACAGACACGTCAAGCAGACCCATCCCAGTCAGTACTATGACATGGTCTGTCTGTGTGTGATTCTGTCCATTCAGCTGTGCCCTCACTCACAGCAAGAGATTCAAGGTCGTCACATCACAGTAGGGCCGTTTCCCGCCGTGTATCTCCTCCCTAGCCACCTCCTCCCAGGCCATCCAGTAGAGAAACCCAATCCCCTGAAGCCACACCGTGCACGCCGTCAGGAATATCAGCTGCGCCACAAACGCCCTCTGGAAGGCCGCCCCCGCCCTCTCGTCTGCTCTGGCCCTTGTCCTTCGCCACTCGTCAACAGCATCGAGAACACGCCTCAAGAGCAGAGCGATGGTTCCGGTGGAGAAGAAAATGCCAATGCTCGTGAGGTCACGGAGAAGGATGTCCCACGAGACGTCATCTGGCTGAAGAGGGGCAGCGGCTTCGGTGGGCGGAGGGGCGGGCAGGGTGAGGGAGTTGTGGGCCAGGTCATCAGAGAGGGTGTCTGTCGGGAACGTGTGCATGATGCAGAAGCGTTGGATCCGGCCCCGTTAGTCAATTCCAGCCCAACAGCTTCAATCAGTCCAACGGTGGCGAGATTTCGCGCAGAGAGAGACGGAGACGGCCTGAGGCCCTCAGTCTTTTTTTTTTGGAAGCCTAATCTTCCTTCTCTTCCGGTTCCTCTCCACCATGAGCCCGACTCCCCGACCGCTGCTGGACGGGCTGCTCAGCCGCAATGGTCAGCAACGGGGGAGGGGCGCTCTCTTGTTTGCCAGCGCTAGCGCCCACACGTTGCGAGGCGACCTTCTTCCTTGCGGCAGGTGGGTGAGTGAGGCAACGTGGAGGGGAGCTGGGAGAGGTGGAAAGTCTTTTGTTCATCAATTCGAGGGAGGACCTGTCCGCGACGATGCACACCGACCCAACCATGCTCTCAGTCGAGAGGCGGCTCAGCCAAGGCAACCAACGGCAGCGATTTGACCGGCAGTTCCTCGAGGCCCGCAAGAAGATGGAGCAGAAGGTGCTGCTGCATCTTGAAAGGTCAAGGAGATGCCGCCGGGTAGGTGGGGGGTGGGTGGGTGCGCCAGCCACACACAGACAAACATTCAACTCTTGTAGTGACCATGTTCACCGCGACCTGCCCGCCAGCAGCCAAGCTCATCGACGCCACTCGCTCGGCGGACCCGGACATCAAGGTCAAGCTACCGCCGGAGGCAGGCGAAGAAGATGACAGTGCCGCCTTGTAGGATCTTCAGCAGTACGACAAGGAGCACACATGGAAGAGACACCTGTTGGAGGTATGTGTCTGAACATGAGCCCTGCTCAATTTCAGCATCAACGCCCACGACCTATGTCGCCACATTTCCTGCACGTGAGGTGAAGAGCTAGGCTCATTGTGTCTGCTCCCTTTCTGTATGTCTGGCTGCCTGTTTCTGTCAGCGCATGTTGGGCCTCCTTGCGCCGGCTGAGGGTGAGCTGTTCCGCAGGTCGGCAAGGCGAGTCACATTTGAGTTCTCACTCTTCCAACGTCAGCTGTGTCCCATCTGTGCCGATTCCCACCCGTGTCTCCTCGCCCCAGATGCAGGCATCTCTCACATGCCATTGCCAGCCATACGTGGATGTTGACAACATGAGGACCCCGCGTGCTTCAGATACGTGAGGAAGCGGATCTGGAGCAGCTGGAGCTCATTGTGGATGTCGAGTTGGCATGCCCGTTTCCCTGGCTGCCTACAAAGACCCTCAAGGTACGACACGGCACAAAACCTACACACACCCATCGCTTGATATTCCCTCTGTGTTCTCAGGATGTGTGGCGAGCGTACGACCATGTCAACCCCAACAACGCAGCGTTGTCGGCCACTCTGGCTGACGCCAAGGACCGACTCCAGGCCAAGGAGGTCACCATTCACATACACACACACACACACAGAAGAGGAGTATTCCATATGACATTGACACCTCTGTTCCCTTCTATGCATCAGACGGTGAGCACTGCGGTGGTCAAGAGCCTCGTGGAGAGCCTGGAGGTAAGTATGTATGTCCCCCCACACACCACAAGACCACCCTCCGCCCATGCATGTGGATGTGTGTGTGTGTAACCCATTTGCTCCCCTCGTCGACACAACGAAGTATGAGAACCGCGCTCGTCGTGCGGCCGAGTGAGCACGGAAGGCACTCACTTACTGAAGGGCCACACCGCAACACACGCATGGTGCATGGACGTGTTTGTGCGTCAGACGTGAGTCGGAGATGTTGAAAGAGCAGCTGGAGAGGGAGACCAAGACCTGGAAGGAGACCAACCAGGTGTGCACATGCATACATTGTATAGATATATCCCCTGATAACTCATCATCCGTGCTTGATCCGTGCTGACGTCCGTGTGCGCTTGGGCCTTGCTCCGTCAGACTATGGCATCCAAGGTCGCTCAAGTGGAGAGCGCGCTGCAGGACTGCCGTCAACTCGAAGAGGTGCGTGTGTGGTCTTCCAGTATCTATCGAACTTGACCTCTTTCTGTCATGCATGTCATTTTTGCAGGCTTACCAGACCGACGAGGAGATAACGCCTCAGAAGCCAAGTCGAGGAGGTAACTACCGAAGTGAGAAAGACAGACAGACAGACAGGCAGAGGCAGAAAGAATACACATGATGATCGCCTGACACACACAGACAACATCCATCTTACATACCATACACAGCATCTTCTGCCGGTCTGTGTTGCTTTGTCTTTGGACGCACAGACCAAGAAGGAGTCGCACCACCGCGCCACTCAGAGCTGATAGTACACGCAGACACAGCACATTCATTTGTGTCTGTGTATGCAGGGGCTGCAGCGTCTGAAGGACACCGAGATACACCAACTGTGTAGAGAGCACCAGGAGGTAGGACGGCAAACAAGCAACACACACCAGAGAGAAAGGGAGAGACGGACGCTGACCGACCGATGGATGTGTGTGTGTGTGTGTGTGTTGGCTGAACGAACAGGTTGTCGATGCTAAGAACCGCGAGCTGGGGGCTGCTGGCACCAAGGTCATGCAGAAACAGCCGGTAGGCAGGCCAGCCCAGCTCTCACCCACACAGATAGATTATCTGCACACACATCCGTGCGTGACACACACGCACCCAATCGTGGGCGTATGTGTGTCGTCTCTACCCAGGAGCTCGACGCCGCCATGAAGGAGCTCGACAGCCACACAGACGACAGACAGACAGACAGCAGAGAGACATGCAAACACTCGATGCCACCTTCCCGTCTCTGTGTGTGCGTCGTGTCTCCATCCCTCCCTGCAGAAGAACCAGCTTCAAGTGCGGCGACTCAAGGGCGAGCTGCAGGAGGTGAGCACCCATGGGTGTACAGGGCGAATTTCTCTGTCTTTGCTGTCGCTGTATGTCAGGCTGATGCGACAGTGCGGCGTCTCGAGAATCGGTGTCAGCTACTTGAACTGGTCAAGGTGCGAATTGCGCGTCCTTATGCAATCAGGGAGACATATATAGTACGTCCTGCCTGCCTGATTGCATAAGGTACGTGCAGGACGGGCGCTATGCCATTTTGCCGCCGTTGGACTTGAACGTCCTCCAGAAGCAGTTCAAGGGCGACAGTAACGACACCAAGAAGATTCTAGTTGTGTGGCACCAACCGACACCAGCCCCAGCTACCTGTCAATCGCCAACCACGTGTCCAACATCGCCACCACTGCCCTTATCGTTGCCTTCAGATGGCTGGGCAAATGGTGTCGAGACTGCTGCGTCTGCCCTACACGGAGCAAGCCAGGCGAGCCGCGCAAGTGGTGGCAGCGAGTATTCTGCCCTCAATGTCCCAAGTGCTGCGACTGGTGTGCACTTCATCAACCCCTCGTATTCGCGATTCCGTCGATGCATTGCAAGACGGATGGTATGTAGGGGGGGAAGGGAAGGAACAGGCAGACCAAAACATAGCATGTGGCACACCCTCCTTCTCCCTCCCTCCCTCCCTCCCTCTGTCCCTGGCAGGACATGAAGGATTGCGGCCACCGATTCTGTGTAGGGTGCAAGGCGAGTCTAGGCATCGCAGCGGACGTACGCAGACAGACAGACAGATAGACAAGACAGCCAGCGAAACAAGGCGAGGTTATGGGATCTCTCTTTCTTGTCCATCCATTCGCCCGTCTTTTTGTGTTCCTTAGGCTTCGATCGATGAGGTCCCCTGTACCATCTGCCAAGCATCCGAGGAATTCGACTGGAGGGCAGCAACCGACTTGGCTTTGGCCGACATCCACAACTCGTACGGACGAGACGGCACGCACAGGACAACACACCACACCACACCACACCACACCACACAAGCCTTGCCTGCGTGCACACTGCGTCTCTGTCCCTCTGTCCCTCTGTTTGTGTGTGTGTGTGTGTGTGTGTGGCGCCTGTTTGCAGTTCTGAGATGGAGGGCATGTCACAGGAGGAGCGCAACGGCTTCATCGAGGAGATGATAAAGCAGTAGAGGTGAGGGACTGAGTGCCTGACCTTCACCACACACACACACACACACTCACCCACGGACGCACCCACACACATGTGGATGACCAATGCGTGTGGGGTTTCTTCCCTGTCCATCATTCAGGCGGGCGTACGAGTCGCTGTCTCGTGGGGCCTCCCAGGCGTCGGCGTCGAGCCCATCGGACACGGGCAATGGCGACTGGCCTGCCCTGCCCACTTCAGGCGGGGCGCAGGGAGGGGCGAGTGAGGCACACACCCACTGCTGCGGGTGGAGCATGCATGACACACGCCCTCTTCGCACGATTTGCTGCCTCTCTCTGTGTATGTGTCTGGTCAGGAAATTGTTTCTGCAGGGCGATCGGCGAGCCACACACAGACAAACATCCACCACTTGTAGTGACCTGTCGTGATTGATGTGCAGGAGGGATTGGGAAGGAGATCCACAGGCGTCTGAGGTCGCTACTAAAAGACGTCGATGAGCTGCCGTTCGCCGTGCCCCAGCCGTCCGTGTATGCCGACATCAGACGCCGGATCGGCATCATCATCATGTGGTACGTGAGACACGGATAATGCAGCCCCGCTGATCCATGCTGAGCGAGTGGATCAAGGTCTGTCTGTCTGTCCATGTGGCCTCCTTCCACCAGCCTGGACGAGCACGGCAAACCCCAAGGACAGCGGCAGCCCGTCCTCGACTCATACCACAGGGATGACCTCGCAACGGCACTCGAGCAGGCGGTACGCACGTATCCATCCATCAATCCATCCATCCATGGGATGCGCCGAAAAAAACTGACACCACTCTTTCAACATGTGTGTCAGGGTTTCATTGTGAGCAAGGAGCCCGAGCAGCCCGCAGCAGCCTGACAGCCAAGACGAGACACAGGACACCAACAACGCTCCAGGGCAGGTCAGCCAAGCTGAGCTGAGCGGGGACAATGGATGGATGGATGGTTGAATGAATGGATGGATGTGTGTGTCTCTGTGGTGTCCAATTGGTGGTGTCAGGGCGTCACACAGGAGGACACACACGAGGAGGACAGCAGCACCACCCCCAGCAGCAGTCACGACCGCAGGAAGAGGCGCAACGCCGTCACGCCCAAGCACTACCCCGAGACGCCAGACAACAAACGCCGCAGCACCGATGCAGAGGGAGACATCGACTCAGAAACAGATGGCGACGACTCTGATATGGTCATGGCTTGGGAGGCAGAGGGAGAGGAGGCGGAGCCATCTGTCAAGAGGCGCAAGTACATCCCTGTGGTGTAGTGTTGAAGGCCATGGTCCCGGCCATTCGTCAGTTGACAGTCAATGAGGAGGAGATGGCTGGGGGGAAAGGTGCAGGTAGATGGATGGCTGCCTACATTTTATATTTGCTGTCATGGTTCGCATACATATCATGTGCTCGAGGGCGTCCCGCTTGACGGATTGGCTGTCGGTCGGTGTGTTGCGCTGAGTGACACAGTGTGTGTGTCGCTCCTGCCTGTAGATCTTGCGTTTGGTTTGTCAGTTGAAAGCTCTATCAGCTGGCGCCCGATGATCTCTCGCTTTTTTCTGTGTGTGTGTCGGTGCCCTCGTTGAGTTAACTACTCAATGGGCTGGCTCGTGTGGTGCTGGGGGCTGTCATCTCAGCCATGGTATTCGACCAGTAGACTGCTGAGGTATGGATCAAACGAGACAGACGTACGCAATGGTGTCTGTCTGTCTTTCTTTCTGTCTGTCTGTCTGTCCATGTCTGTGTCTGTGTCAGGCCGGGCGCTGGTGTGGTTCTGACGCTGGTGTGTCGACATATGTATTACATTGCTGTGTGGCTGGATGGAGGCGGCCGGGTGGCTCTCCCTGACTAACGACGCGTACATCAGTCAGTCGTTTCAGCTCACAGGAGGCGTGTCTCGATCGGCCCACGCATGTCTCCTCGTGAATCCGTGCCTTTGTCTTATGTCCAGGTGGAGGCATAGCTGCATAGATGCTATGCATGGGTGGGACCGGGAGGGCTGTTGAGTTGACAAGAGTGCTGCATGACACTGTGCTATAAACATGCACAAGCAAGACATCCATCCATCGTCGGTCCACGGTCGTGTGAAATGCGTGTGACCCCACTATGTCCATCCATCATTCTTCATCGACACATCTCCGCATCTCAGAAGCGCTGTGCAGACCGCTCAGACCGCTCAGTCAGCGCACACATCCGGGTGAAGGGAATGCCTCGCCAAACGTCACACGCACATCACCCACACGGCAGGATGCACGTCAGGAAATAAAGAAAGATGCACACTCACTCACGTATGTATCTCTCGGCGCAGTAGCGCTGTGGCTGTTGCCTCACTCGATCAGCTAGCTGCCGTGCGGTTGGCGGACGGGACGGGTGGATCGATCCATGCAGACAGACAGATAGACAGATGGGAAAAAGAATCCCTCCGGGGCGGGGATGGCTGCCGGCAGTAGCATATGTACTGCTCAGAAAGGGAGAAACACACATGCACACACACATACGCGCACACACATGACACGTCCATGCCACCCCCCCTAGCCTCCCCTGCTTCCCTCGTGTGTGGTCGGCCATCCCTCGGTTGCATGGCATGGACCGAGAAAAACTGGTGACGAACACGTTTGCCTGCAAACTCTCTCTCTCACCTGTCTCGCGTTGTGCTGCCTTCCCGTCCACCCACCCACCCCCCCACCAGCCCCACTCCTGCCTGCCTGTCTGTCTGCTTGTCTGCCTATGAATGGCTTTAAATCATGCCATGAACCCCGCTTGACGCACACACGCACGGAACACGCAGGTGTGTGTGAGCTTATGGGACGAGATGTGTGTCCGCATCAGGAATGTATGTATGTGTATAGGTAAGAGATATGCCGCAGGAGTGCAGTCAGACAGGCAGGCAGGCAGGCCCCCCCACCCCACCCCACCCGGCCCCAATTGCCTGGCCCGGCTGCCTTAATTGCCGCCACCCATCCCGGCCATCAAGAGAGTCAGTGAGTGCAGTGAGTGAGCGTCTTGGACGACCGTTGCTCTCAGAGGGCGGCGGTGATCTTGCGGTCTATCATCTTCTTCTCAACCTGCAGATGAGATGACAGCACAACAGGACGGCATCCGTATGTGTGGTGCGTCGTTGGGTGTGTGTGTGTGTGTGAGTGTGTGTTTCTTATCTAAGGTATACCTCTTCGGCGAGTTTATCCATAAACTCCTCGCTATTCATGTAGTCCTTGTCAGTCAACCTGACACCAAACCCACACAACACGTCCCTCCCCATGCCATGGACGGGGTGGTGGATGTAGAGTAGAGTGGTCTGTCTCACTTGTTCGACCCCTTGATGCAGAGTGCCAGGTCCTTGGTCATGAAGCCCGCCTCGATCGTCTCAACACACGCCTCCTCCAGTGCCTGCAGGACATACCATGGGATGGACAGACACGCACACACACGCGATGAGCAGAGGGGCGAGCTCTTTCCCCCCTCTTGTCCTTGCTCACATGTGCGAACTGCTTGAGTTTCTCGTTGTTGTCGAGCTTGCCGCGGTGTGCGAGTCCTCTGGTCCAGGCAAAGATGGAGGCGATGGGGTTGGTGGACGTCTTCTGACCCTTCTGGTGCTGCCTGCTCAGATCAGACGCACACAGACAGACATGCACACATCTGTCTGTCTCTGTGGGCTGCTGGGCGTGTGTGTGTGAGTTGCATGCTTAGCTTGCCTGTAGTGTCTTGTCACGGTGCCGTGTGCGGCCTCGGCCTCGATGGTCTTGCCGTCAGGGCACACCAACACCGACGTCATCAGACCCAATGAACCATACCTGATATATCCATGGATAACGACATATCACGCACACAATCCCTCGGTGACCAGCCCGTCCTCTCTCTCTCTCGTGCTCCGGGACTCACTGACTGACCCTTGTGCGACGACATCCGACTGGACGTCTCCGTCATAGTTTTTGCACGCCCACACGAAGCCTCCCTCGGCCTTGATGGCCTGCGCAACCATGTCGTCGATCAGCCGGTGTTCGTACCAGATGCCCGCCTTCTCGTACTGAGGCTTGTACTCCTTGCTGCACACGCACATTCACACATACACACACACATGTGTTTGGTCTGATGATGTGGTGTGGTGTGGTGTGTGTCGGTGTGTGTTTGGTTTATAACTCACTCGTACATCTCCTGGAAGATGTCCTTGAAGCGGCCGTCGTATGCCTTGAGGATGGTGTTCTTGGTGCTCATGTACAGCGGATACCCTACACACATACACACACACAAATGTGTAAGTGTGTGTATGTGACGTAGGTAACAAAGGTACCTATTTACCCACCCTGTTCGAGTGCGAATTCGAAGCATGCGGTGGCGAATCCCCTGATGGACTTGTCGGTGTTGTACATGCCCATGCACACGCCGCCCCCGTCCTTGAAGTCGAACACCTCATACTTCTGGGGACCAGATCTGCTCATCAAACAGTGCGAAAACAGCCCACAATCCAACACTTGCTTCTGAGGCACAGAACTAGTTTGTGAGGGTGAGTGAGAGTAAGTGAGAGTGAGAGTGAGAGTGACAGCGAGAACAGATAAGATAGATAGATAAGAGCGATAGATACAGTCAGTGGTGGATAGATAGAGTGGGCCACAGCACAACCAACACACAGACACACAGATGCACTCACTACACAGGCACCCACTCTCTGTCTGCCTGCCTGCCTGGCCCCACTCTCGCCACTCACCCGTCAGCCGGTGTGTAGACGATTTCGAATTTGCCGGGTTTCTCGACGACGAAGTCGGTGGCCTTGTACTGGTCGCCGTGGCCGTGCCTGCCGATGATGATTGGCTTGGTCCAGGACGGCACCAGCCGCGGCACGTTCTTGCACAGAATGGGGGCACGGAAGATAGTGCCGTCCAGGATGTTGCGGATCGTTCCGTTGGGCGAACGGTACATCCTCTTCAAGTTGAACTCTGGTGGCACACACACACACATACACACACAGTCTCTGCAGTGGGGGTCTTCCCTCCTCTCCCTCTCCCTCTCTCTGTGAGTCAGTCAGTACCTTTGACTCTTGCCTCATCTGGCGTGATGGTGGCGCACTTGATGCCCACGTTGTACTGCCTGATGGCCTCGGCCGCCTGCACCGTGATCTTGTCGTCCGTCTCGTCGCGCTTCTCAATGCTCAAGTCGTAGTACTTGATGTCAATATCCAGGTACGGCAGGATCAACTGCACACACAACAAGAGCGCACACAACACACACACACACACAGCAAGAGAGATCTCCCACCCACTCACACAAATGAGCTGCCTGCCTGCCTGCCCCGATCTGCCTGTCCCACTGCTTGCTGTGGCTGGCGGCGGTGACTGTGCTGACTGACCTTTTCCTTGATCCACTCCCAGATGATGTGGGTCATCTCATCGCCATCGAGCTCCACGACGGGGTTGTCCACCTTGATCTTCTCGAACTTGCGGCTCATGTTCAGTGACTCAGGCATACACACACACCGAACACACAGGACCAGCTGAGACGATTCGAATTCGATTGCAAAATGCGACGGAAGTCTGCAAGCTTAGCTCGCAGACGGATCGATCCCCTTCTTTTGCAAACGTCATGCCTTCTTTTTTGCTCGTAGACATTCGGCACAAAGAAACGAGCAATTTTCAGCCATTTTCAGCCTATTGCTGCTTGCGTGAAGGTGCTGTAGTGAGTGACGAGATCTTCCGATGGCGTGCCTTGTCCGCGACCTCAAGCGATGCTGGGGATAGAGCCCATGACCAGCCTTCCCTCACGTTCATTCGCGGCGTTTCGAGAGCCAGGGCCCCGAGTACCGCACAGCAAAGGGCAGCATACGGCTGCCCGACCCGCAAACACTCCAACGGGACGGCAGAGCGCCGCAGTATGACATGGATGACGTGAGGGATGAGCATCCAAGATATCATGTCAAGCCGATTGGTGGTCCCAGGGGCAGGGGCGGGTGTTGTGGTGACTGAGAGGTGGGTGGACTTCATGGACGTGGTGCAGCGGCAGATAGATCTCCTGAATTGGCGAGGGAGAGGAGCACCAACAGCATCGTCAGCATCAGAGCACCACCCATTCCGCGAATTCTGTCTGTCTGCCTGTCCGTCTGTCTGTCTGTCGGTCTGTGTGTCTGTCTGTCTGTCTGTCTGTGTTTGTTTGCGGGTGTCAGGTGTACCAAAACATCTTCCACTCGTTGATCGAGCTGGAGCAGGTGTTTGCCTTCACGCTGCACGACCAAGTGGCCGCGGCCGCCCCCATGAGCGAGCGCCAGGCAGCACGCCTCATCCAGCAGCTGATGCAGGCATATTGTGACATGCTGGAACCAGGCTACTATCAGGCGTAAAAGAGGTGGAGGGAACACAGCGACAGTTTGTATGGGTGTGTCCGTCTGTGCAGTGATGCCGACTTGCGCAACTTTGTGTATGACGTGAGGGGCCGCGTGAAGCTTATGGAGCCCGGAAAGCGGCGTACCGCATCGAGATATGAGCGCATAACGATGGGTGTGCCCTCAGGCAGGGCAAGTGGAAGGAGTGGACCGCTGAGCTGCTAGTGAAGCGAGACACGCCGCCTGAGGTCGCACACAACCCAGAAGATGCAGACGCGCATTATAACGTCCGTGTGTGTGTATGGCATGGTGTGCCTTCATTCAGGTGTTGGCCACACAGCGCGGCCAATTTGACGCAGAGAAGGCGACCGTATGGAGCGTGGCGTGAGCAGCACCTACACGCGCCCATGCCGCCTGTGCGGGGACGTGATGAGTGCTGGGTGTTCTTCCAGATATTTGGCCCTTTAGATCGTGACGTTCCTTCGTGCATCTGTCTGTCTGTCCAGGGTAGTGGGGAGGAAGTCCTGCAGGTGTGGGTTGATGAGTGAACGGAGGTGTGTGTCGCCGCCCATTGCGTGAGTAGCCAGACAGACAGACGGGACTGGAGGTGGATGCATGTGTGCATGTAGAGACGCAGGCAGTAGGGTGGGAGGATTGTGTACAGGAAGGGAATGGATCATGGGCGAAAACCGACTGCGTTGGTGTCGCGACCGACTGACAACCAACCAGTTACTGACTCGCATTCAACAGTCGACACTGTCGTCACGTCAATCACACCAAAACACTCGCCGCAAACGAAGCCTCCACGCGTCATACGTTCAGACACACAAACACACCGCATTCAAGCACAGCACATCATGGATGGTATATCTTCACACCTCACACAGCCACGAGGCAAACAAGAGGGAGCTTCACTTCAGCTCCTAGCAAATGCACCTAACCGCCTCTCTCTCTCTCGTCGACTAAAAGTCCTCAACCAGCGACCCCGCTCTTGTTGAGGAAATGATGTGTCGGCCCGCAGATGGATAACCTCGGCTATAGCCTGATTAGTTTCTTCAACAGGTCATGTGCCCACTGACCTCAGTTCGAACCCCGATTAGCGCCCATACAGGGTGATACCTAGGGCCAAACCGGGCGGAAAACAATCTCGTTGAGCAGCTGCGGAGGGGTCGCGAGTTCGATTCCTGGAGGCAACACTGGGAACCTTGGAAAGGCAGAGGCGGAAAGGGGGGACCCTAGCTCTGCGGTCCGAAGGGGGGTGTTGAGGAAATGATGTGTCGGCCCGCAGATGGATAACCTCGGCTATAGCCTGATTGGTTTCTCAACAGCTCTCCTCGCTCTCCTGCTCGGCATCTTCGGCATTCTTGCCACAGGCGTGGGAAAAAAGCAGGCGGAACCGAACGGCATCGTCTGCAACCGGGTAGACGTCTTCTGTCGGCGTACACAGCCGCTCAACGTCATTTCTGCACCGCTCGTCGAGTGTGTGCACGAGGTCGGTGACGTCCTCGACACTGCCAAGCGCGTCGGTGCACATCTCGCGAAGGAGGTCGCCTCGCACGCCTAGCTGGATGGCCCGCCGCGGCAGCGTGTCGTTGGTGAAGGGCACGTGGTCGGGGTCCCATTGCATCACCACCGACGTCTCACCAATCGCAGCCTTCCACGCCTCACGAGTGCCATAGATCTCCTGGTAAGACGAGTGCACCGCCTCGCCCAGTAGACGGTCGAAGAAACAGCGGCGCAGACGCAGCGCCAACACACGCTCCTGATTTTTCTTGCTCGCCCATCCGCATCGGCACATCATCCAGGTGAAGTTGGTCTTGATCCACGACATGCGGTTGAAGCTGAACTTGTCGCCGCCGAACCGCTGGTGCTCGACGGCGTAGTCGGCGATGAACGGGTTGTATGCCTGGTAGACTGTCACGGTCTCGTCATCGAACTGGGCAAGAATGTGCTTCCCCTCTGCCGGCCATTTCGAACGCTGCTCTGCATAGGGGCTAAGCTGCAGCCGTGTCATTGCCTGCGCCTCGGTAAGCAGCTCGGTCATCGTGACTCCGCAACGAGGGGTCTAAACCCTAAACCCTAAACCGGCCGAAACCCTTGTTAACCTTAAACCCTAAAGTAGACAGGTTTAGGGTTTAGGGTTTAGGATGGGAAAAATGACCACCAACGACAGAAGCATGGACGACAAGCGGACGATGGAACCACCTGCCAGCGAGAGCAACAGCCACGTGGTGTCGGTGGAGGACGGCAGCTGTTTCGACTACAGCGAAGCGTCAAGCGACCACACAACCGAGCCGGAGGCGCACAAGGCGTCGCCTGTCGGTGGGGCTGGTGAAGACATGAAGACATGTTCGCCGATGCGTCTCCCGAGAGATCCGTACTGGGACAACGCCAAGATCTTCCTCGTCATTAATGTCTGCGTTGGGCATTTCCTTCAGGTCAGAACGACGAAGAGCAAACACACAGATTGGCCGCTCGCGCTACATCGATCTGTGTCCGTGGTGTGTGTGTTCTGCAGGTCTACATACCGCAGGGGGAGTTTCCCAACGTCGTGGCGCGCATCGTGTACGTCTACGCGGCGGGCTATATCATGCCTTCCTTCTGCATGATTGTACGGAAGGAAGACAGAGATAAGAAAGGCGAACGGGTACATGTTTCACAACACGGTGGTGTGTGGTGTATGCGGCTGCATATCTCAGTCAGGCTACTTCAGCAATCGCACGCACAAAGACGACTACACCACGTTCAAGCAGTCCAACAGCCTACTGTAAGGATGGAGCAAACACGAAAGACAGTCGGCCACATTGGTACATGCATCGTTCGTGGTGTGTCAGTCGGGGGCTCTTCTTCCCGTACGTCATCTTCCAAGTGATTTACTCGCTTGTCTATCACTTCTTCTACGAGAAGCCCGACCGAGACTTGCCCGCGTTCGGCCTCTCAGTGCAGAGCAACTATGTGTGGCAGCCGTTCATCCACCTGTGGTTCCTCATGTCGCTGCTCGCATGGCGGCTGGTCGGCCCCCATTACATGAGGGTCGTCAAGTACCCTCTCATCACCTCTATCGTCATCGGACTGCTGGCAGGCTACTCCAAGTAGGCGAACCTAGCCGGAAAAGCCGGAAGAGCAGCTGCAGCTTCCATTGTCTGTGTGTTGGTCTCAGTGCGACCCGGTTTCTGTCGCTGCAGCGGTCACTTGCCTACTTTCCCTTTTTCGTATTTGGGTGGCTGATGAAGGACACCCAGCCCCTCTTCACCCAAGCCAGACGGAAGTGCTATACCGAAAGTGGCATTTTGCCCTCTAAGAATGGCTTCATGGTATCGGCTTCTGCGCGCTGATGCTCGTCCCATAGTGTTTTACGGCCTCTACGCGCCTGGCTACTGGGACTGCCCAATATGGTAAGTGGGTGGGTGGGGGAGGCCGTGTGCAGATGTGGTGGTCCACTTATGCGCACATGTGCCACCTCATGCAGGTTTGGGGATCCATATTGGAGTGAGACTGGTGAGTGCAACTTCCCTCAGTGGTATGCGTTCGTGGTGCGGCTGTTCTGGTACGCCTTCGACTTGCCCCTGTCCATTGCAGTCCTGCTCGTCCTGCCGCCGTTCCGCATCCCACACGTGAGCGACAAGTGGGGCCCGAGGACCATGCTGCCCTACATCGCCCACCCCCTCTTCATCATCGCCTTCCAGCAAGCCGGCTACTACCGAATCGATGGCCTCTCTGTGTCGGCCATGGTGGCCATATCGTGCTTCTTGGGTCTGGCAGTGGCCGTCTTGCTGATGACGGACTACCCGTTCGCATTTTGGCTGCAGTATGTGGTGGACCCGCCGTTTCTGTCGTGATTTCTTTTCAAGAGAGACGAGAACGACACACATGCGGCGAGGCAAAGGACACACCAGCCGGGGCGGCAGGCCGATGCAGACTGGGCGTGATGGACATTCAGAGACAGAAACACCGGAAGACTCGCTCGGCTCACCACCGAGACACACCCGGAAATCGAAGAAAATCCTTGATGGATGGATTGATGGATGGATGGATGTGTTACATGCCCTGCTCTGTGCGTACGTACGTATACGTATGTGTTGGTGTGTGTATGTGTTGTGTCTTCTCGCTGGAGAATGGGGTGCTTGTGTGTGAATGTCTATGGCTGCTGTTTGTCTGTCCGTATGATTGCATGTGTGTTTTTATGTGCTGTGCTGACGGTATGTTTCCCCTGCGTGCGCCAAAATTGCTTATGGATTTGCTTTTTGTCTGCTGAATCGGCGATTTTCCGCTGAAGCCTTCTTACGTGGTGTTTCTGCAGCTCGCACACATGTGAGTACCACACATCCTGACTTGCACTGCCCGTCAAGCTTGTATCCTGTCTCGGTGATGTGGCATGGGCGTTTGTTGTTGGCGTGTGGGTGTTTGGAGCGACTGCTGTCCATCAGCAGAACTGTTTACTGAGTGTGTGGTACACACATGCATTCACACGCAGACGGGCACCCCAGCAGTGAGTCGGCCGGTCAGTCCCCGGCCGGCACTCAGCAAAGACCCGCAGGCACACCTATACAGCTTCTGTATGTGCACACACGCACACTGGAGTGGAGGGAGGTACGTACGCACCGGGCTGCACCCACGCCCTTCTCCCCCGTTCAAACGTCTGCTGCCCGGCGACTTGCCTGTCTGTCTGTCTGTCTGTCTCTGTCTGTCGGTCTCTGCATATCTGTATCTTTCTCTTTGTCTCTTTTTCTTTCTCTCTGTCTCTGCCTCTCCTCCTTCCTACGTACTGGTTTGGATGGCAATTCCATCAAGGTACTTGACGAGTGCTGATGTTCTTGTACAGTCGATTTGTGGTCTTACATGCACAAACCGGACCTTGTCTGTCTTGTCTTATCACCGACTGTCTGTCTTGTCTGTCGTGTCTGTCTGTCTGTCTGTTACGTGTTTGTGTAGCTCGCCTCGCATATGTGAAAATACCTACCGCACAAAATGACTGACTTGCACTGCCCGTATTGTGTGCTGTCATGGTGATGTGGATTGTGTGGCGACTTACCGCACTGTGTCTATCGCGATAACCCTGCTGTAGTCTGCCCGTCTCTCTGGGTGTGGTTTGCTGCAGCCATTGTGCCCTTTGCACATGAGAAATGCAGCAGAGCAACGTCAGCAAGTTCTGTGCATGAGGAATGTGTGGTGCATTCATTCATTGTGCTCGTGTCTGTGTGCATGTTACGGTGCAGGTGCTGTGAAGGGCCAGCTCCCGATGGCTCGCAGGACAAAATCTCTGCTGTGAGATGTCAGTGAATAGGGCGGGGAGGATGCTGGCACGGCGCTGGTTGATCCATGGGTTGGGTGGGTGGATGGGTTGGTAGAGTCGGCTTCTTGTGGCAGACAGATGGATAGATGTGCGACGGTGTCCTGCCTGCTTAGCGCTTCTGTCGATGCCTGACTCAGCGACTGTTTGAATGCTTCTATCTTCGAGTGTGAATGTTTCCCGCTGTTTGCGCGGAAACACATGCAGTGAGACGGACCAAGCTTGTGCGTCGAAATTATGTCAACCGACGGAGCGATAGAAGAGATACCAACACACGCACACGCAGGGAGAGACACATACAGGCACACGGACTCTAAGCAGACACACCAGCCCTAAACCATGAAGTTTACGCGTCGCCTTCGAATTCCCCTTGTTGGAAAATGGGTGGCTGCTGCAGCAAGATAGACAAGAGTGCGAGTAGCCCTGCTCCAGTTGACAAGAAACGGCCGCAAGAAGATGCCAAGGCCAGAGATCTCGTGAGCAACGTGACCACCAAACACAAGAAGGTTCAGTCAGGCTATGGATGGAATGCGTTGATTTGGCTGCAGGGCGGTGGGAGCTCTGACGCCGAGGGGTCCATTCCTGCGGAGGCCGTGCCGGTCGCAACCTATGCCACACACGAAACCCGTGAGAAATCCATCCATCCATCCATCAGACAGATTTGGGTTGAGGGTATGGCCGGTGCGGCCATCTGGCTGTGGCTCATTTGTGTTGTGTTCAGCAGGCCGTGAGGATGAGGGCAGCATCTTGCCCCTTGGCACTGATGTAAGAAGCATTTCATCCACCCACTTCTCTGTCGGTGTCCACTCTGCATGCCGGGTGGCTGGGCTGGCCTGGCCTTCCTTGTTTGTTTCTCAGGATCTGCGAGTGGTGTCTGTGGAGCTGGCGGCATCGCTCCTCACCCAAGTAGCAGACACGCATGTAAGTGAGAAGGGGAGGGGAGGGAGCAGCCGGCCAGCATCCATCCACACCATTGTGTGTCTGGCATGCCTATGTCAATCAGATCAACTTCCCATTGCTGTGCCCGCAGTTCGCAAGCGACCCAAACAGTGACCCTGCGGAACCGCTCAAATGGTACGTACGGTGGACACATCCCTCCATCCATCCATCCATACTCACGGCTTCTTGTGTTTCCATCCAGGCATCAGGAGCTCCATGCTGCCCTCGGGCTGTCCACCAACCTTCCTACTGATATCGTCGCCGCGGTATGAAGGCGTGACTGCTCCCTTTGCCATGCCGGCTCTTCCCCACCATGTGTGTCTTTTGTTTGCAGGCCCCTGGGCTCCCCCGTCTGGAGTCGCAGCCATCTGCTGCGCCGAGACTGCCAGACACTACTAGGGAGGTTCAGGATGGCGGGAGGGGTGCCGTCAGGGGCGAGCAGCTGGCGCTGGCTTCCGACGAGAGTGAAGGGAAGGGTAAGCACGACGACGGACGATATACAATGTCTTCACTTTCACCACCCCGTTGTTTTTCTCTCGTCAGGTGTTCCGAGTATCCTTGTGCAGCCCCCCGGGCCAGCAGTCAAGGCCAAGGAAGCCGCACGAAAACCACAAGGTCAAATGTTTGCAGCCTGCCACGCCACTCCCCACCCGTCCCTGTCTCCCCTGTTTTGTTCCCAGTTCCCATCGAAAGACCTGTAGCCGAAGACATCACCCCCAAGCCCCAGGAGACCCCCTCTCGCCGCCCTCCAAAAGCCCCGGCACCCTCCCCCGTCACCAAACCAGGCAAGCCGTCACCTGCCGAGCCCTTCTATCCAGCCCCCCGCAAAGGAGACGACGAGAGCACCCGGCCACCATCGCACCGGGGCAAGGCCGAGGAAGATGATTTTAGGAGAAGCCGGCTCCTCAAAGCCGCGGAGAAGGCGGTGGTGCGTGTGGAGTCTGGGACAGAGGAGCTGCCGTCGCGCACACGGAGCTGGATGCCACCGGGAAGGCCGGAACATGGTGGCCGCATGCGGTCTGACGGCACTCCTTTGGGCGGCGGTGAAGGGAGGGGGGACGGGGAGCGGCGTCACAGCATGGATGACGCCATCGTCGCAGGGGCAAAGGAGAAACCGCGGCCAAAGAAGACATCCCCGCGGACCACCAAGGCGGACGACAGGGACAGGGGAGCTCCCAAGCCATCCCGACCAGCCCTGCCAGAGCCCTCATTGCCCACTAGAGGCGCCGCGGCAGAGGAGCCTGCTGCACCTGCTGCTGCCGAGGAGCCATCTCTCCCGACGCCTCAGAAGAAAGCCGTCGCCAAGAAGAGGGCACCACCGATGCCTGAAGACCGCCCCGGCAGGCACAGAGAGGATGCACACCGACCGAAGTCCCCTCTGAGGAAGGCGGCCGGCGAGCGGCCCAAGAGCCCTCCAAGGTCTCCTCCTGTGCGTCAGATTAGTCTGGAGAAGGCTCCGTCTGGCCTTGGGGACGCGGCGTCGCCGTTTGCTGTGTCTCCTACCAAGAAGGGCAAAGGGAAGGAGAGGGTCCGGCACCCAGGGGCGAGGATGGAGGACGACAAGGGCGAGAGGCGACAGGAGGTGCGCCCGGCCCCCGTCACCTCACCTGTCCGCCCTCCCAGCCGTCACAAGGAGGTAAGATCTACACAAAACAAATTGGCAGATCAGATGGACACAGGTAGGGATTCCATGGTGTCTTGTCTGTCCTTCTCGCGGTATCAGGTTGGTCGTAGCCACCCGTCTGGTGAACCTCCCTTGGAGCCCGTTCCATTCCCCCTCGCACCTGCACCAGCACCATCGCCATCGCCATCGCCCAAGAGAGTCGTCCTGCGCTTCGCCAGATTGTTTGGGCTCGGGCGGGGGCGGACAAAGGCGAAAGGCAGGGCGGCAAAGAGCCCCACCTACCGCCCCTCCCCCGTCCAGCGGCCACTTCCCTCGCGCTCGCCACCGGCTCGTGTGTCTGTGTCGACGCGGCAGCTCCGGAGGGCTCCATCTCCCATCCGGCCGCGGCGTCCCAAGTCAGCCCCTCCTGCACACTCGCCCACTCGCCTGCCCCCCCGGCTGCCCATCCGCCGTCAGCGCGTCAAGCCCTCCCCAGTGACCACTTCCTCCATTACCGTGTCGCCTCAGAGCAGCTCGTCACGGCCCCCATCACCCCCACAGAGAGGCACTCGGTCGGCGCCGTCCACTCCCCATGTGTTGCGGCAGCATCTCAGGGCGAGCGAGGCGTTTCGGTCGGTGTCGGTGTCACCCCGAGTGCGAAGGCGGCGGCGCAGGCCATCGCTACCGGCGTTCGAGCCACCGTATGACTGGGAGAGGCGAGAGCGTGAGGCTGAGAAGGAGAAGGAGAGGGCAGCACTCGAGAGGCGGGCTGACAGGGGACCGTCCATGCCGCCCGAGTGCACATTCAGGTCACTCACTCACTGACTTGCAACAAAGATGCATCCACGGCAAGCGGGTTGCAGTCGCCTGTGGGTGGGTGTGCCCTTTTCGTTTGTATTATGTCAGGCCCCGTATTCTGGACCGGTCACGTCGGCTGGCCAAGCGGTCTGAGGCGCGCATGGAGGCCATCATCGCATCGGCCAGGAAAGACAAGGAGGGGCCGGATGCAGACGACCCCCCGCTCATGACCATCAAGCCGGGGCAGCACTACCAGCCCTCCCCTGTCCGCTCGTCACCTGCGCTGCCGTCCCACCCCCCGGTTCCACCCCTGTTGAATTTGGAGGCGGCTGCTGCAGCGGCGAGGACCGAGGAAGACGATGACGCATCTGCTGACGATGAAGGTATGTTCGGGCGTCCAAAGAGGTGCTAGATAGATAGTTCTCTGCCGTGAGTGTGTGTTTTGTGCTGTGTTGTGTTGTGTAGCTGGTGTCTCGACATTCACCCTCCCCGTAGACGACCCCTCGTCCCCCTCATTTGGCGCGCACACAGCACACGACATGATGGTCATCGACGACGACCAGCCACTGCCACAGCCACAACCACACCCACAGCCGCAGCCGCACCCCTCACCCCCCTCGCCCCCCGCAGAGGCGTCCATCGTCATCTCAGAGACGTCTTCGCCCAGCCGTGGTGAAGGCAGGTCACCAAACCGCCACCCGTCGCCCGTGCAGCGGCGAGGCAGTTTCGGCACCTCGCAGCGGAGCGTCGAGGAGTGGCGCAACACGCCCTTCAGGAGCTACTGGAGTTCAGACACGCGCCGGTCAATGGTGGATGCGTCTCATGGCGCGACGAGAGGGGGCCGAGGGGCTGGGCGGATGGCCAAAGGAGCCAAGAGAGGGCCGCCCATTCTCGCCTGGATCAAGCAGACAGAGGGCACGGTGGCTGGGGATGGTGAGGACGAGACACGGGAGAAGCCGCTGGGGAGATCGCCACAATACGCCCAGGTGATGAGCATCAAGGCGTCCCCCCGCAGCCCACCCATGCAGCCTCGTGCCCCGGGACGGATGGAGAAGAAGCCCCTCTCCAGCAGACAGTGCAAAGCCACACACCAGGGCACCAGCACGGCAGCAGGAGCTCCCAATGCCGATGTGCACGCCACCAGGAGCCGTCCAACCATCGACTTATCGAAGGTGGCGAGACAGAGAGCGGACAAGAGGGGCGCGACGACAGCCATCCAGCGAGAAAACGGCGTGCCATCGGTGCGAGTGGATCTGCGAAGCGGGAGGGCCGGCCGCCCCTCTCTCCGTGGTGGCCGGGAGCAAGTTGCTTCCTTCTCCATTCATGGCTCGAGCTCGCTGTCGAGTGCCGCTGAAGGAGGCCCAGAGCTGCGGAGGTCTCAGGATCCAGAAGGCGGCAGCGACGGCCCAGAAGCTGACTCCTCCTCGCCGGTGTCTCATAGCGGAACGGCAGCTGCTGCCGGATACTCATTCATGATGGCCTCTGCTGACTCGAAGGACTCACTGCCCGACGCGACGCAGCCACATGCACCACCTGAAGGCCACAGATCAAGGGTCGGACCGTTTGGCTACCGGCATAGAGATGGGGGTGGCTCAGCGTCGATGTGGGTGGCGCAGGGTGAGGGACAGGGCAGTGGGGAAGGAACGGATAGAGTTGGTGGAGGGAGAGACGAGGGAGACGAGCTGTTGGATGCCATCGGCAAGGCACCTGATACTGAGGTATGCGCTCCCACTCGCACGGCAGGACACAGAGGTTGATGGTGGTCAGTCACCTCACCGAGAGTCGTGCCTTGTTGTGTTGTGCTGTGTGTGTCACCACCGTTGCAGAGGGTAGATGACGCCGCCGTTGGAGAGTAGTGGTCAGATACGATGGGCCTATTCGCTCTTGTCTTGAGTTTTGCGGCTCGGCCGGTTGGTTGAGTGCATGACATGATGGACGGACGGGGTGGTTAGTGCGTGGCGTGCGTGACCCCCATACTCGAACAGACAAACCGTCGATTATCCGTGTGCATGTCCCAAAATGTCTCTCCCTCCCTCTCTCTCCCTCCGTCTCCGTCTCTGAATTCTGCTATACAACCGACCGCAGAAACGGTCCGTCAGCGATAGATGTGTACATCCATCAATCCATCAATCCATTTATCCATGGACACATTCATCAGGGCAAATAGGGCGGCAGAAACTCGGCGGTTAACGTTGCTCAGGCAGCAGAAGGGCGTGTGCAGTGCCGTCTTGTGTGTGAGATCAATCTAGGTGCTGGCCGACAGGGCCTCTCGTCTGAGAGCGCGCAACACCTGACACACACACAGAAAGACAGACAGAGAGGAAGGCACGTGCATGCGTGTCAAGACACAGGGCGGCTAAGACACACCTCGCTGGTCATCTCAACACTCGCGGAGCACACTCCCGAGGCAGATATCGTTCTGAGGGAGGGACACAACCAGCACCCACACCCACACCACACCCACAGACGTGCAGAAGCGTCTCTCCCGTCCGTCTACACACCCACCGTGAGTTTAGTGTGGTGATCTTGGCAGCCATTTTGGCACGCTCCTCGCGGCGAGCACCCTTCATCCAGGACACACACATTAACACACTCGTCCGTCATCTGTGTCGATCACTGCACCCCCGGATGTCTGTGTACCGCATCAGCTATGACGGACTGTGCGATTTTGTGGAGCTCGTCCTTCATGCTGTCGGTGGAGTAGCGCAGGCTGCAGGACGCACCCGCCGCAGCCGCACTGGCCAGCTGCAGGTTGCGAGACGCGCGAGAGGTGGCCGCCAGACACAAGTCCTGGCGTCACAGCACAGCACAGCACACAGACAGAGAGAGAGATAGGTGCA